TGGTACGAGGCAAGGCTCCTTGCGCCAGGCACGGCCGCTCAGTTCTCCCCTGGCCCGCACACTAGTCACCAGGCTCAGGGAGCGCGCGTGGCCGAGGGGGCAGCCGCAGCCGGCAAGGGAGCTCAGTCCAATTTCATTACACGCGAACACTATAAAGGCACATCAGCTTCGGTGACCCTCCCCAAGGTCCTAGGCAGCAGCAAGAGTATCCCCGTGGAGCCCGGCCCCCGGGAGGGCGCAGGAGGGCTCCTGCTGGGCAGCAGCCATGGGAACGCCAGGCATGGCGGGGGTGGGTCTTCATTGCACGGGGGAAGGGCTGAACAGTTTGGCGGTTAATGGCCTGAGGGGCCCCAGGAGAGTGGGGGGGAGGGAGCCCCCCAGCCAGCCCATCGATCCAGGGCCCCCCCATGTCTCTTCGGACAGGTTCCGAACCCAAGTCTGTGAAATCAGGCTCCCCAGCGCTGCCCAGCGAGGCGCGTCCCGGGCAGGGCGTGGGGAGCACAGCCCTGTCAGGTCATGTAGCGGGTGATGGCTCTCAGCGCGTACAGCAGGGCCGCCTGCATCCGGGCCTCCAGCAACAGCAGATTGACGTGCACCTGGAACGGAAGGAGCACGTGTGTCAGGGAGAGGCGGGGGTGGAGAGTTACCAACAGCCAGGTGCAGCCCATCTCCCCCAGAGACAGGAGGGGGCAGGGAGTACGGGGGAGGGGGACGTAGGATCTGTCAGGGCCTGGGGAGAGCAGCAAAGGGACGGCTGCAGGGCTCAGAAAAAGAACGTTCCCTCCCCCCGCAGTGTAGGGCAGCGCAATGGTGCATTCTGGGTTCTCCCCATACACCTTCCCTCAAAGCCTCGGGCACCTGGGCAGATCTTCCAGCAGGCTGCCCCCAAGCCAGGGCCGCAGCAGTGAGGGCAGGACGGGCACAGGAGGCAGGGCCGGTGCTGGCTCACGGGGGGTCCTGAGCAAGATTATTTTCAACCCCCAACCCCTCTCACACTGAGCAGGGATTCCCTTGAGCTGCCTGGGACCCCAAGCAACTGCCTAGCACGGCCTGGGGTGAGTGAGACAAGTAGCTCGGGTTCGCCTCAGTCGCAGCCCTGCCCCGTGGCCCCCGCACCTTCTCGGAGTGCTTGAAGTGTCTCCAGAAGTGGGTGTACATCCGCCGGGTGGCCTTCTCCGGGTAGCAGGCCACCGTTTTGATGTAGACTTTCAAGCTGCGCTCCAGGAGCTGGTTCACCTCCCCGTAGTCGTAGTCGTCGTATCTAGGAGGGACCAGAAGAATCCACTTTACCCCGAGGGGAGACAAGGGCCACAGCCCAGCTCCTCCTGAATTCCTCCCCTTACCCCATCAAAAACATGGCTCCATCCTGAGTGGCAGGGCATCCATGCACCCCTGGGCCCAGAACTGCACCCGCTTAGAGCAGACGGTCTGGGCTTGGGTGACGGCTGCCCCGAGGCTGGATTGACTCTGACAGCAGGTCAGCTGGGGCAAGAGGGAGCGGTGGGAGGAGAGAAGCGGGTGCGTCTGAGGGCACCAGACATAGCCAGGGCACAGGAGGCTGAGCGGGGCCCGGGCTCGCTACCTGATCCCGAAGACACAGTGGACGTAGTTCCAGATGGCCCTGCGGAGCATGGTGGTGTCCACCCCGCTGTGCATGGCGATGGTGTTGTAGGTCAGGTTATAGACCACCTGGAACTTCTCGTCCAACAGCTGCCCCGCGTCGGGGTACAGGCGGTTGATCAGCGAGTAGCCGTGGTCTTCCCAGGTGTAATCCTGCAAGGAGAAGGATGCTGGGACAGTGGCTCCAAAACCCTGCTGGGAGCCTTTCCCCTGGACCTGGGATCAGGCCTCCAGAGGAAACCACGAGCCTGGGACACAGGACACAGCTCTCCACCCAGGGACCGGCTGGGGACGGGGCCAGGCCCAGAGCAGGCAGACAGTTGCCAGCCCCAAGTATGGCTCCCCGGGCCC